TTGTATGAGATTGTATAAGTTTGACTAGCTCTATATCCTATGGGTGCTAAAGCTCCTGTACAGGATTTGTGGAGTTATTTAATAACAATAAACAATAAACAATAAACAGTTCTGATGATAGCTCTGATTCATCTGGTGGTGACAAGGAATGACAGGCATGTGGAGATGATATCTATGCGGACATTGCCAGTGTTGCCCCTTTAGAATAGACCCATGTAATGTGTAAATAAACTCTTCATGTATATAACAGTAAAAAGTGTATAATATGTGTGAACATCATTGAGACTAAACCACCAACATTATGCAACACGATGAGGTAAGAAGTAATTTCCTCTTGAGAACGCCTGTACTGCATTCCCTTCCACACTTGTCAGCATGTTGGAGCTCTCCCCGCCACTACCAATACGTCTCCCACTCTGCATTGGAGGACTGTCAGTTCTAAATACTACAACTGTAACATGTTTTATTTCACAGCGAACCATCCATCTCTGAGGGAACGCGTTTGTTGCCCAAGGCATTCCCAAACAACGGCCCATCTGGAATTTTCTTTCTGCTGAAATAACACGTTACTATTTGCTGTTTAGAATAGGGGGTGATAATTCTTAATGACATAAATAAATCATACTATGCTGTACGCATTCATGAATTTGGCGTAAACAGAGTTAAATTCTGACATATATTTTCTAATATTTAGACTCTGTAGGTGGGCTGATTAGCTCTGACCTTCATGCCAGTGTTATTAATTCTATAACATCTATAACATAGCTAATTTCTGGCTTAATTAACTAGTTAACCCAGCAGAACAGAGTTCTTCTTGAGAACCAAATAGTCACTCAACATTGATATGCTCTTTTCATCTCTTCCAAATGTGTTACATGCTCCTCTCATATCATCCTTCTTGAATTTGTAATACTTGTATTTGATATAGAGTACACATTATGAAACTCATCATGTTATTTTCTCTATCCTCTGTTAGTTCCTTCATCTTAGGTTCAAATTTTTCGCCCCAAATCCTCTTCTTGAGCAACCTCAACCTGAGTTCTTCTCTTAATGCGAGAAATCAAATTTTTTATTACCTATAATATAAAGGAGAGGTAAAATCATAGTTTTGTTTATTTCAGTCTTTATATTCTTGAATTGCAGATAGAAAAACAAAATTCTGAACTAAATAGTGGGAACCATTCTTTAAATTTATTGTGTGCTTAAGGATGAAGGGATCACAATATTCAGCAGACTGGAAGTACTTGTTCATATTAACTGTTAGTTTACCCCTTAATAGTTGTTTCTTCTTCAGCCTGTGCTCATACCAGCAAACAACTGATGCATATCAGCAAGCTCATTAGAAGTCAACAAGGCACATCTGATGGTGAATGTTTGAAACTTTAGGATAAAATCAAGCATGAATTTAGCAGCAGATACGATTTACAGAACACATTTTACTATAAATATACATTTGATGTGGAGCTCATAATCACGAATTTAAAGTTCCTGAAGGATCAGCAGCTAAGGTTCTTTTTCTAAATACTTCCTAAAGTACCCATAGCAAATTATTTCTTTCTGGCAGACTTCTGGCACCTCAATTATAACTTCGCATACCACAGAATGAAAGGAACACTTACCATTCACTGTTAAAAACACTACAGCACTCAGACTTGCACCAATCCCATTGTTCGCCTCACACATGTAATAACCTTCATCCTCTTCTCTGACATCGTGAATTAGCAATGTACCATTCTTCAAAAGGCCTTCCACTTCATCAAACTGGGATGCCAGTTTACCTGAATAAATTACCGTATATCACTTAAAAAATATGGCATGTGGAAATATCTTAGCTAAAGAAAATGTATATTCAAAGTACTACCATATCAGAAATATAGATATTTCCATTTTCTTTAAAATATTGATTAAACAATCACAAAACCATTCTCAGAAAGATAGCAATTAGATGACCTAACTGAGGATGGGAAGATAATATTAAGATTGATCATGAAGAGACAGGGGGAAGGTGTGGACTTTCATTTGATTCAGAATATGGATCAGTAGATGACTTTTCTAACTACAATAATTAACCTTTAGGTTCCCTAAAATAAATGCAAATTCTTTGCTATCTGACCAATTACTAGCTTCTCAAGGAGGACTATGCTATATGGAGACAGTCCATTAATCAGTCAATCAAACAATCAGTCCATTAGTCAGTCAATTAAGCATATTCTTATTCATTCTGATCCATGCACAAAGGTACTCATGCAGCTTTATACAATCATTGTGTCCTACAAGTGGTCTCTCTGATCAATAATATTTAAGCATAGGGAAAGCCTGTAACTATGGCATCACTCATGCTCTGACAACCACAGCTCTGTTCAAAAAGTATAACAGGACAGTCTTGGTAATCTGATATCTATGGGACCAAGCTATCGCTGGATAACTGAAAAAGATAGATTACTGGAAAAAGTATATCGTAGCACATCCAACATAATACTCTTTAGCCAAATTAACAAGTTTTTCACCTTTGTTAAGTGTCTTAATTATTTCAGCTTTAGCACTTTAAGTTTTGTACTTATGTTTGTCAAAACTGGACATCTTCAGCACACATTAAATCCACCACCGTATGAAAAGCACTGTACAGGAAGTATATTACTGAAGACCTGGAAAACTGTATACTAGTGAGGGTCTAAATAAATCAGTCTGTCAAGCTCGACCGAACACAAGTCAGCACCTGCTGCCTGTAGAAACCTACACAAGATCACAGATACCTGTCTGGAGCCTGATGCCAGATTACTGGACATGTTGGACTAGCGTATGGCTGGATTACCGAAATTGTACTGTATTTAACCTTTTCATACATTGTATTTTGGTTTCTTATATATGTCCAGAAGACCCTATAGGATGATTATTTGGCAGCCTAGATATAAGTAGAAAGATAATATTGGAGCATGTGTGCTGAAAGCCAGAATAATTTAATCAGAAGGGATGTCCACTACTAGGTTATGGCACAATAAACAATGACACAACAATGAAATACGTCAAGCCACACAACGTAAGCAATGGAAGTATGACTGGGAACAACATTCTCTATGGGTCCATGCTGATAGTGATGTCATGCAGAAACAGAGGAATTGTGGGAATCGGTGTTTTGAGTTGGGTCTTTCCCAAGGCCGTATCACAAGGACCAATGGGGCAAGCGAATCAGTCCAGAGTCTAGAAACGTCCAGAGATAGTTTGCAGGAAGACAGACCAGCCCAAGTCTGAGGCTGTTGTGAAGGAGTCACCCCTTGTGGAGGTGTGGGAGGCAGAGGAGCCCCTACTGTTGTAAGTCATTGCATAGCAGTACCTAGTTGTGAGATAAGCACTAGCCAGTGAACACAGTACACGGAAGCTGAGGGATCTACAGCACTGGAAGCTGTTATCAGACAACCAGTGACAATACAGCCGACAGAAAAGATTTAGTGTGTGGTGTAGTAAACTGTAAAGAGTGTGAATTGGCGATAAATCCACAGTTACTTTTAGCTGCGATTTCTAAATGTGCAATATGTCCAACCAAGCCAAACATAGTTGCTTCAACATGTATCAAAATTACAATCGGTCTTAATGAAATTGACCATTTGGGTATGAAATGGGTTTCTCTGTCGTGGTATGGGGCTAATAACAAGCTGTACTGACCACTGTAAAAAAAATTCTTGTTCCAAAAAGGGCAAAAAATTCTGTGAGTAGTTGAGAGATCTATTTCTCAGAAAGGATTCTGTTGCATTATGCTAGCGGAACATTAATTAGATAATGGTAAAACAGATTTTAAAATCTCAGCATCTTTGTAGGTAAAAGTTCATAGAAACATTTCAATCTTCAGGAAAGTTTGTTAAGTTATTTTTGACATATTTCAGATGAAATAGTAGTATAAGGGCATACTTAAATTGTTACTGTTCTCATCTTCTTCTTTCTGAGAGAAAGTCCATTCTGCCAGTCACGTGAAGGTATGGTGGATATAGAAGTTCACAATTTATAGGAAGGTTGATAAAACTGACTGTAGGAAATATCACAGAATATTACTGTTGCCGTCATACAAAATTTTAACCAATACCCTACTCTCAAGGTTAAGTCCATATGTAGATGAAACTATTAGGGATCATCAGTGTGGGTTTCGACATAACACAAGAACTAAAGATCTTTCCCCCCCCTCCCATTTGCATTTGCTGGGTGTTGGAGGCATAATTGGAGTACAGTGAGACTGTACATTATCTAGTCATAGATTTCAAGGAAGCCTATGATTCAGTTAGGAGGGAAGATGGTGGAACCAGTAACATTTTATAACAGGAAGGAAGTATTTTACATTATTCTCATAGAGTTTTGGATACCCATGATGATGTAAATCTATTCAGAGATAAACATGAATATTTAAAAAAATAATAACATGAATATACTGAAGAAAACTGGAGAAACTATATCTGCAGCTAGTAAGAAGGTTGGTCTAGATGTAAACGTAGAGAAAACTAAGTGTATGCTGCTGTCTCATCACCAGGATGCAGGGCAGAATCATAACAGATGTTCTGAAAATGTGGCACAGTTCAGATATTTGGGAACAACCATAACACATCAAAGCCCAATTCAGGAAGAAATTAAGAGGAGATTGAACTCAGGTAACGTTTGCTACCATTCGGTCCAGAACCTTTTGTCTTCATTTCTGCTGTCTAGAAACATAAAAATTAGAATATACAAAGCTATAATTTTGCCTCTGGATCTGTATGGGTGTGAAACTTGTCTCTGACATTCAAGGGGGAATACAGACTGAGGGTGCGTGAGAACAGGGTGCTGAGGAGAATACTTTGACCAAAGAGAGATGAAGTGACAGGAATTTGGAGGACTGCATAATGGGGAGCTTCAGATTGATAGGGCATATAACATGGATGGTGGAGAAGAGGAATGCATATAGGCTAGTGGTGGGAAAGACAGATGGAAAGGGACTACTGTGAAGACCAAGACATAAGTTGGTGGATAATATTGAAATTTATCTTAGATAGATAGGATGGGGTGATACAGACTGCATTGATCTGGCTCAGGATAGGGGCCAGTGGAGGGCTTTTGTGAACATAGTAATGGACCTTAAGTTTCCATAAAATTTTGGGAAATTCTTGAGTAGGTGCGTGACTGGTGACTTTTCAAGAACGGTTTAGCTCCATGGAGTTAGTTAGTTATTCATAGTTATAAGAGTTCACACAACACCTCTGCTGGGAAACACGTTCCACCCATCCAGTTCACAGCCAGTCGCCATAGAGCTAATCATACCTTTATAAAGCAATATATCAAGATAAAGAATTAATCACCGTGTCCCTTTCGCCAAATGACAGTAGGTAAAGGGAAACCATCAGCCTGGCAGTGCAATGCTACTGTTTGGCCAGCAACCACACTGGTGTCTTTTGGCTCAATCACCCACTCAGGAGGCACTGAAATAATCCAAACACATCACATAATATTTACATGATTTTTCATAACCATTCCCATGAAAATGTATCTCAGAATCAGTAATGTATTTACAGTGTTTCTCATTACAGCATTATTTAGAGGGAAGATCTCCACATATTAGCAAATTTTTAAAAAAGAATTTCAGTTGTATTCATATCTTCAATGTGATGTAAAACAGGGACAACGTTTTTGATGTCAGTGATAACCTCTACTCACTCTGTGTCAAGGTATATTATTCTAAATGGAAATAGAACACTGAACTTCAATTTACAAAGCATAATGTTTATTTCAAGATATACACAGAAAAACAATGAGGTCTATTCCTAGACAAGAAAATATATTGTGACATGTTGCGCAACGAAGGACCCCTACCTCCCCAGCAGCATGTGGCGGTAACGTAGCGCTCGCGTAATAGGCGAGTCATCATCCCGCCACTCTCCCCATGGTGACGTCACGAGCGGAGTCGAAGTGAGCCGAGCGGAGCCGAAGTTAGCCGAGCCCCCGCAACCTGGTAGCTATGCAATGCGAGTCAACAGCGGTGACGTAACAGGATGATATGGCACTCATTACGCAACAGGCAAGCACTGCGGCTATATAAGTGAGCTGCACAGCGGCTGCGAGTTAGTTATAATGTGGCCATTGCCGAAGACATTTCCGATTTAGTCCTTGAGCTACCTCCGAGAGTTGTAATGTGGCTACCGCAGAGTTAAGTAGTAGACGAGCGAGTGTGTTATCAACAGTTCTCCAGTCAGCCGACTACAGTTGGAGTATAGCAGCCGTCGCGGAAAGAAGAACCGGACGTGTGTGTGATTGCGTAATTGGGAGTGTGTGATACAGTGATACATAGCTCCCCTACTGTAAACATGTAGACCACTGAAGACAGATTGAACTGATTTGCGCATAGGGTTATAAAGTGTGAAACCCCGCAACAGTGGTAACAGATTATTGCAATTAGAGTTATAAAGTGTGAAACCCCGCAGCTGTGTTATAATTAATTGTAGCCATTATTTGTAGATTGTTAAATAAACCAATTAACGATCTCTACGGCGTATTCAGTAATGAAACACGTTACAATATATTAAAAATAACATCTTAATTCTCACTCAGAGAATAGGGAACATCTGGAAATCAAGGGGAAAATCAATGAGCATGAAACAAACAATAAGAGAAAAATAATTAACCATTTGATACAAACATAAGCAAATTTAAGAATGATTATCAACCTGAAACTAAATTAGGAAAATATGAAAATTCTGTTTTGCTTGCAGAGTCCTGAAATATTTTGCATTTGTGGATAATTTTCAATTATGGAATGTACATCAGGTTAATGATGTTTGAGTGACTGATATCCTAATTGTTGAGCCTTAATCTGGGCCCAGTTCATGTGAGTTTTAGATTGCTATTAAAAGCTCAAGTAATACAAATTGTCAGGTATTTATCAATTTCTGACAGAATTAGAAAAGTAAGGAATAAAAAAGTGTTCTGAGATACATTTGACTATTATTTCTTTGATAAAACTGACAGTAGTAATTACTGAGGAATATTACTGTCATCAACTATATACAAAATTGTACCCAAATTCGTCTTTCAAGATTAAATCCATATGTAAATTGAACTGCTCAAGACCATTATTTTAAATTTCAGTGTAACAGAAAAACAGCAGATCATATATTCAGCATTTATCTGACACTGGAAAAATTGTGGGAGTACAATACAGTGGGATAGTACACTAAGTATTTATTGACTTCAAGAAGCACCAGCAATTCTGTAAGTGACTGTAACAATTCTGAATGAGAAATGGAATTTTATGGTGAAGTGGAATAACAAGGAGTTAATATTTCTCTCATTGTATGTAAGGTTGGAATTTCTTAGTGTAATATGGAGAGTTTTCTTATGGGTATCTCACTATTAAGTACTAATTTGCCTGTCAATTTTGAGTGGGTTTAAGGGAATCGTGAGGTGCAATATGGAACCCATGCTAATTCTGATTCAAGCTGCCAGAAAAAGCCTTTGCCAAATGTACAGTTTACTACAATTTATGTACATTCGCCATTTTTCTAGTACATCCAGATGTGTTCTTTGTTGACCTTACTGTCCTCTGCTCACATAACAAAGTATAGAATCCATGTCTGAGAAGAACAGATTCTGTTATCCCCAACAACAGGGCAATCACATGAGTAATGGTAGGTAGAGAGGACCAACTGCTTGGCATGGACTCTGAACCATAGAGAGCCCAGTGTCTTACCATAAGACCACAAGGTTCAGCTCTACTTTATATATTACATTTAAAATCATTGTTAATTAATAGTGAGAAAACAATTTACTTTGATATACAGGATGGTTCAAAGCCACAGTACCATACTTAAAGATGTTGTTGAGGAGATCAAGTTGAGCTGAGAGTGACAATGAAGTTTCTTCAAGTTTGCCTCCTTTTTGGAGTTACAGTATGTTTTTTTGGTGACATCACTTTGCATTTCTGTCCTCATTTGATGGGGGCTCAATGCAGAAAGATTGTGGCATCAGATAGCTGACTCAGGCATTAGCGCCAGTAACAAGAACAGTGGAAACTGCCTAGTATTGTTTTTGCAATGCAAATTCTCTTGCATCACTGAATGAGTAATACAATCGATATACAGGTTGGAGACGACCTTACAAATGTGTGTTTAACCTTTAAATTCCGGACTTTTGAAATGGTGGTAAGCTAGAGCTGGCCGAAGTTTATTTAAATGCCCGATGCTGGTGCGTGTTTAAATTCCCATTCCTATGAGGGCGTTTAAATAATTTTAAGCATTGTATTTAAAAATGATGTATCTAATACAATTTTTATGATAAATGGATGGAATTAACTTTGTATCAGAAAGAATGTAGTGTCGCATATTATAACAGAAGATTTGGTAATTTTTATACAAGCAGTTATACACTATTTTCTACTCTTTTCCTTTTAATTTTGATGCGTACTGTAAAAATGGTTTCCCAGTTCTTCACAGAGTTGTTCTGAATTATAAAATCAGTCCTGCTTGTAACAACTGACATATTTTAGCAGCCCCTAGTGTCATAAAATAGATGGAAGCAATAAAATCATTTGGTCTTCTGCTGACAAGTTTCATGTCTTTGTTATACTCTTCAGATTTTCGAATCTTTTGACTAAAGGACAGAAGAAAGAAAGCATGGTTGCCCTTTCTATGGCTGTGAACAGACAGTGACATTGTGGCTGAGTTACAGAGTGCGATCTGTTTTCTGTGCGTTCATAGTGAAATTGAATACTGTAGTTTTATTTCAGCCTATATATACATCAAGCAGATAAAAATAAGAAAAGGTATGCACATCGAATTTTACTATATATTTTTAACACATTAATCTGCAGAATCTGCAATAAAAGTACTGGCTCGAGGATGAGTGTGGGCATAACTCATACATATACTCTTTTGTGTTGTTATTCACTTAGGTATCATTTTAATTCCTCTATTAGGGTTTTACTCAAGTCTGTCTGGTAATTACTACATTTAAAAACAAATATTTAGGACTGTGCATGCGCTTCTACTAGTGGCGTGTACGCATGCTTCCACTAGCAGAGTTTAAATGCCTGACTGGCCAAATCGGGGTACTTTGGCCACAACGTCCATACTCATCATTGGCCCAATCGGGGTACTTCAGACGTTAAAGGTTAAAACAGTGCATCATAATCTATTAGAAACGCTCTCCTGCCACATACCTGTGTTAGTGATGGGATGAGGAGAGTGAGGAGAATGTGTGGCAAACCCCCAACCAGTGGCTGTCAGATTTTTGATGCAGGAGGACTTTCTCAGAATGAAATGTGGCATACTTGGCATGTGGATCAGATTTCCTTGTAGAAAAAGTACAAATGTTTCAGCTAGTGTGCAATGGGAATTGTAGAAGACTGTGTGAAGCCATCAAGTTTTGTACTGTATGTTGTGGATTCATGAGGCAGTATTCACAAGAAATGGTGTATACAAGCTACATAACCTGCATGTGTGGACAGCAGAGAATCTTCGTGCCACTCCTCACTCTTCAGTACAGTAATGATTTAGTGCCAGTGTTCGGGCTGGAATCATAGATGATGACATAATTAGACCATATGTGTTAGAGGACTGTTTTGATGGACAGTATTAAGACAATTTTCTTGAAGAACTGCTTCCATGTTTAATGGAGGATGTGTCTTTACATGTGTGTGAGAGCATGTGGCATGAAGATGCCCCTCCCCATTTTCATATCAAACTAACAAATGGGTTGACAATAACTTTCCGGAAACACAGATTGGGCATGAGGGTCCAATCACCTACCCTCCACATTCTGCCACACTCACTCTCCCCCCTACATTTTTATTTGTGGGAATGTCTGAATGACATGGGAATTTGGGATCTAGACAAACTAATTAGTCACATTGAGGTGGCTGCTACAGACATTAGGAATCTAAATAGAAAACTAGTTACTGCTAGAGGCTCAATCTGGCGTCACTGTCAGGCATAAGTTTAGTTGGAGGGAGGATACCCTGAACGTATGTTGTTACTCACATTGGGTGTGCTGACACAAAATGTACTCAGAATTTTTCAGGAGCAATGGCTGAAGAGTGCTATAAAGCACTGAATTTGCAGTCTTTCTTCCTTTCTTTAATTGAAAACAAGGAGATCAGTTGACATTTTATGTTAAAAGAATTGTTTCCAAATTGTAAAAATCCACAATCACAACAACACAATCTGACATCACATTAAAGTCATAACTCCTTAAATGTGGCAAATCTAAAAATAAATTTTATTTACAATCTCATCTCTAATTGATCTCCCCAGATACCTCTTTAAGTTTTGTACTGGAGCTCTCAAACATTCTGTATAACTACACTATTTCATATTTTGATATGAATAACTGTGCGAATGTCACACTTCGCGGTTTTAGTAATCGGGAGCTCCATTTCTAACGGCAACCGTGCCAAGACTGAGCGTCCTAGCTACGTGTGCGCATGCTTGGTGGTATTGGGGGAAGTGGGGGAAGCAACGAATGCAACAGGGTTGCCATCAGCCGCACGAAAAATTACCCAGCGCTTTGGAGACCTTACTTTTGGAATCAGCTACGTATATCAAAATATGAAATATATATATATGTAATATGTATATATATACATATAGGCATACAATGGGTTTCAGATTTTGATTTTTTGTGTAATTTTTCTTACTCGGGAGAGCAAACAGTCGACCAGGTCAGGTTTCAGAGCAATCCTGAAGAAAATATTAGTTTGGGACAGGAATGGGTAAGGTGAGTTACCGCTGATGGTGAGGTGTGCTGTGTGAGTGGTGACTCTTGCCGAATTGCTGGCCACGCATGTGTAGTTGCCGCTGTCACCACGCTTGACACTATTCATCGTCACAATGCTAGAATATGCGTCGAATGGTGTGATGCGGATGTGGCTTGGGAGAGGCGCCCAGTTTTTCAGCCATGTCAGATTCAGTGGAAAATCCCCTTGGTGCACCATACATGCCACCTGGACCCGCGCCCCTTCAGCCAACTTCGGGAAAGCGAACGGTGTGATCTCGGGGGGCACTGCAATGTGCAAAGAGTGCAAGGTGCAAGTGCAAGTGCAGTGTGCAGTGATACTGTGAGAAAGGTGAGTGGAGCAGATGAGGGCAGTGCAGTGTGCTGTGCAGGCCACTCCATCCAACATGCAACTTGGGACATTATGAAAAATGCACGAGTTTTTCATTTATATCTAGAGCTATCTCTCAAATCCCTGATTTGTTTACACAGTAGTCAAAGAGCCTATTTGCTGTTTACTTCTGCATAAAATTAAAATATACATATAAATAAAAAGCTGCATTTTATGATTTGTTTATTTATTTGAGAAGTTATTACTCTGCATGTAAAATAGAAAAATAATTACAATGAGTGACATCGGATACTGCGCTGTGTATTACTGAAGTCAAGTTCTTCTCCAGTTCACACCTCTACTAAGTCACCTTTATTTTTTACCCATACTTAATGTCCATATTTCTATTAATCTGTGTTACTTTTTCAATTCTGGAAAATTCAATTTAAGAGTAATGGAACTGTTTGAAATGTGTACTGTTGTGCAGATACAATCATCAGAACTTGGTCTCTAAAGTAAGTGGAGGAAACAAAGAATTGAGGTGTTCCAGTTTACAGTTGGATGGAGGGTGTGCCAAGTGCTGTGCTGCTGTGTGTGAAGTGCTGGGGTGCCAAGTCCCAAAAGCAGCTAAAATGGGGGAAAGCTGTAGGTGCGGTACCATTGACTGCCAACACGACTGAGTGGGAAGCTGTGGCAGCACGGTTGCTGGCTTGGCATGTGTAGCGTCCACCGTGCTCCGTGCTCAGTTGCTCTATCATCAGAGTACTACTGAACTCCCCCAGTTTGCGCACCGTGAGTGCAGGGAGTTCCAAGCTCAGCACTTCATCTTCATCCTTGAGCCAGTGGATGGAAAGTGGAGTATCTCCTTTCGTCACTAGGCACTGCAACCCCAAGCGTTCACCCAACCGGACACCGCTCTCAATGGAAAATGGATAAATGCTGGGTGGCTCTGTAATGGAGGCATATGTCAGGTGATGGTGCCAGTATATCTGCTTGATACTGGATTGATTCCTGTGGCTCTGCTTCCATCAAATAATCAGTAAGAATTTGCTATAGAAACAACAGTGAGTGCTCAAACTTTTGGATTAAGATTAAAGTAGAGGACTAAAAATGAACTTTCTTAGCAAATAATTTGTTACCAGTGCACTGTAAAGTATGAAGTATGATCTTGTACTCCGATACAATTATTAAGTTCAATTTCTCAAACCTTTGCAGCACCATGAAAATTATCTATATCCTAAAACTGCTGGTACAGTTAGTACGGTTAATTTCAAAGCTCTTTCACACATTTCATTTTAGTATTTTAAGTACTGCAGTGTGTGTTTAATAATAACTGTACCATGTTCTGCAGAATTTTGTGCAACACTGTGTTAAAAAATAAAAAACAAACATGTTTGTCAATATATATGTACAGGTGAAAGTGAAACTATGTCAGCTTACAGACGTGATGCCCTATTCTGGAAATCTGGATCTGTGAATTTATTTTTGTATTGGCTTACACTGTTATCATCAGTCATCTTTGCCATCATCGATATTGCCACAATTCATGATACACAATATTTGTATAACTATGAGAATTTTCTTTCATGCTGAAAGAGATATGGGGTCCAGGACATCATTTTCCATGACATTCTGTATCAGGACATAGCAAGAAGTGGTACATGATTAGGCTTGGCTTGGCTCTCTCTCTCTCTCTCTCTCTCTCTCTCTCTCTCTCTCTCTCTCCAGTGGCACCAAAACCATCACTTCCTTCTTGCTCATGGTTAAAAAAGGAAGGTAACAGAGCTAGGTTTCATTACCATCTATACAATTTCTTTAATATAATGGGCATTTAATCTGAGCAAAACAGGTTCACCAACTATGATCTTCAGATTATTTTTGTGTATAAATTTTACTTGCCTATTTTTATACCTGTTGAATTACTGTGCACTATAACTTGCCAAAATCACTGTTAAAGAAGTTATTGAAACACATCATTGTGATTTCGTTCTTAAAAATTATAAGGAAATGTAAAAATACTGTGTGCATTATAATCATCAAATCTAAATATTAACACTTAAAAATTAAAGACTCCTTTATTGTTATGGATTAAAATAAGGTATATATGTGTGTATTGTGCTCTGTGTTGTGTCTTGCTCCTGTGACTGTGTGCATTGTACACGTGAATGTAGGAAGAGTGCTCCCATAGAGGAGGATTGGCGTGATTCACGTATTTGAGATATGACATATGGATGATGAATCCTGAAAGGTTTTAATATTTAGAATTTATTGTTATACATGACGAATACACATTTTAGTCATTTTAGAATGAAGACGTCATGGCATGCAGTGCAGTAGTTTGACGTGCATAGAGACACACCTGAAGATGGCACATTAGTGCTGAAACATGTAGTGAAAAGTGAAGAGAAAGGTGAAATTAAATAAAAACTGTGCACTGTAAGACGGTTAGCATAAATACACATCATGGTTTACGATTCCTCTTAATTTTGTGTATTACTTTAGGGCCATACAGATATTGTAAAAATTTTTGCAAATATAATAAATGCTAATTTGAAATTGAGAGGATTATCTGTTTCATGCAGCTTACCCATTACACTTATATCTACACTCCCTTTGTCTGAAAGGCCTTGACGATTTCTTGCTTGACAAGTGTATGTACCCTGGTCTGCCTTCTGTTGAACATTTTCTATTGTTAATGTGCCATTTGGATGAACTGTCTGCCGGTGGTTTACAGGTAACACACGTCCATCTATATAGAATCACAAATATGTTAATAGCAAAGAATTTACACTCATACACTCATTCATTTATACCACCATTAGGAGGGTGGTGAAGTGGAACACTCTAGATTTGTTGTAGGAGATGCACAGTTCAAATCTCATCTGGGAGAACAACTATCCTGTCTGAGGTTTATTCCTGGTTTTCTTCAGCCCCTGTAGGGAAATGGCTGGAATATAATTTCAAGTAGGCCATGGCAACATTCTTCCAAAATATTTCCAATTCATCGTTCATCATTATCCCACTGTCTGATGAACTACATGTAATTTCACTACTGACAGCAACATTAATGAACAAACAAAACAGAACCACCAAGCACTATATATAAATCACCTGTATAAACTCTGTTATGCTCAGTTTTAAAGTTGAACTGGACATCACTCTTGCTTTGCATGTCAGTACTACTTTGATTATCAGTAGTGGACTAAATGTTATGACCAGTGTCTATTTTACATGAAGAGGATAGTACCATGACCTGCCTTCCTTGCACATTCAAATACTTCAGTACTTTACTGAAAGCTACATTATAATTCAGTATTTTAAATTATCAAAAACAAAACAAAAAAACAGTTATTTAATGTAGAATTTAAATGTTCACAACTTGACCAATTGTAAATGATTACAGAACTTTGCAATGAATAATATTTCAAACTGATCACTTATACAGAACCACAGGCAAAATGATAGTTCTGTATATTCTAATTTTTATGTTTTCGGACAGCAGACAAGAAGACAAAAGGTTCTGGACTGAATGGTAGCAAGCAATACCTGAATTCAATCTCCTCTTAATTTCCACCTCAATCAGGTTTTGATTTGTTATCATCATTCCCAAATATCTGAACTGTGCCACATTTTCAGAACATCTGTGTCCTATCTTTATGTCATGATTTTGCCCTGCATTTTGGTGATGAGACAGCAACATATAGTTAGTTTTCCTTACGTTTACTTTTAGACCAACCTCCTTACTTGCATCAATTAAAGTTTGTGTGTGTTTTTTTTATGGTAACTACATATATTATCACTAGTAGATTCACATTATCCATATAGACCAACATCTGATGAGTCCCGTATATTTTCAGTCCCACCTGGTTTTCCTGGACCTTGTTAATGGCATATTCTAAAGCAAAATTGAAAAGGAGTGGCGATAAAGCAGCTCCTTGCTTTAGACCATTCTGGATAGGAAAATTATCAGACAAATATTTGCCTACATGGATTTTATTATACGTTTCGTTTAAACACATTTTAACCAGCCTAAATATTTTCATGAGTATCCCAAATTCTATCAGAGTATTGTACAATACTTCCCACCTAACTGAATCATAGACTTTCTTGAAGTCTATGATAGCTGATGTGCTGTCTCATTGTACTCCAATTTTTTCTACAGTATCTGATGAACGCAAAAGATCTGATCCATAGTTGATCTGTTATGTCAAAACCCACACTGACGATTCCCAAGAGTTTCATCTATATATGGACTTAACCTTGAGAGAAGAATATTGGATAAAATTTTGTATGAAGTTAATAGCAGTGATATCCCCCGATAATTACTACAGTCAGTTTTATCACCCTTCTTGTGAATTGGTACAATAATAGATTCTTTCCACTGATCAGGCAATTTTCCCTTATGCCAAATAGAAGTAATTAACATATGGCTCTTAGATCGTAATATTTCACTCCTGCCTGCATAAGTTCTGCTGAAATTTGATTCATACCTGGAGATTTATACCTCTTCAATTTTTGCAATAGCATTTTCAACCTCAAAAGGGCTGGGATCAGGTATTAACGGCTCAGCTGTATGCATTTCTCACTGCCAAACAGCACTGACCCTATGTACATTCAATAACTGAGAGAAGTAGTTCTTCCACCTATTCAAAATGTTGTTGGAATCTGCAAGCAGATTACCATTCTCATCTTTACTAAGTTACTTCTCGGTTGGTAACAACTCTTAAAGTCATTTTTTCCTCTATACAGGTCTCTAATGTTCTCTATCTTACTGTTCATTGGAAGCTCTTCAAAAGTTTTTCTTTCAAATATTTCCTCTTTTTATTCCTGAAATGCCTGCTGGTTTCACGTCTTATATTGTTCAGATTATCCCTATTTATTTCACTTGGATCCTGTAACCATTGTGATTTGACTTGTTTTCTGTGGTCTAGTACACAGATACCTAGAGAGAAAAATGCATTTATTTAATTTTTTTCAGAACTCCATGAGAGACACTCCTGGCTTGAACCCTTTGCCAGGGTCATTGTCCCTCATCTGACCACAAATCTGAAAGTTTCTTCAGGATGTAGTTTTAAGAATGAAAGTGCCAGAGTGGTCTGGCATGTAGTTTCAGGCTGAAGGAAATGGGAGTAATCAGGATAAGAGGTTTTCTGACTCTTATTTAATGAATGCTTTAGAGTTTAAATGAAAAAACTGAATATAAACAGCTCATAAATTTCACATATTTAAAGAGACTGATGTTAATACATTACACAAACAATAGAAAAACAAAACAAACTCCGTGGCTTGAGTCCACAAGCGAGCTATACAGACCGAGCGACCACCGCCTGTTGCGCGAAGTCAGTGCCAACTTTAGAGTATAGAGGGTGTCACAGGGTCAGTTCAACGAATGCCCACAGATGTTAATTTCAGTTTTCTAGACTGGAGCCGCTATTTCCTTGAAATAGTTCCTCAATTATCCTCATGAGAATTAGTGGACTCGTTCCAGACCCACTACTTCTCAGAAAATCTGGAAGCGCAGGGAATACTTGTAGAATACTTGAAGGGCCCAAACAGGCGGTAATCTGAATGGGCGAAGTCTGGGCTGTGGGGAGGACAGGGCAGCACTTTCCAACCAAACTTTCAAAATTTTCTCAAATTCGGTTGGGCATATCAAGGACATGCATTATTGTGTTCAATAATGAAGTGTTGCTAACAGGCACTTGTCACAAAGGGCACATCACAGCTTCTTGAATGCCAGATCATAATGAACTGCACTGACAGTTTCCTTTCTGGGAAGGAAATCAACCAATGAGCATCCCAGAAAAGTGTTCTCACATTTTCCTCAACCGAAAATATGATCCTAGCTTTCTTCTTCTTTGGAGATGCAACATGAAGTCATTACATGGTCTGTTGCTTTATTTTGGGGTCAAACAGTGTGAAAGCTTTCATCACCAGTCACTTTCCAGCATCCCAAAATCTTTTGCACCTCCTGCACAGCACTGTGTCCAATGGCAAGTTGTGCCAAAATTTTCCTATTGTCACCCTTCGGTCTTCTGTAATGAGCATATCAACTTTCTGCCTCTTGCATTCTTTATTAGCAGTTCTTTATCAACCGCTGTGAGGCAGAATGACGATGTCCCTTGTGTCATCTTTGAAGTGTTTCACCCAACATTGCACACTGATGATGCCAAAGCAGGAGACTCCATAGACATGACAAGATGAAAAATATTTGCAGCAATTTTCCTCCTTTACAAGGAATTCAACCACAGCATGTTGGTGAAACAATACTTGTACATCATCCATAGCCATCCTGCTGCAGTAGATTTTGGATAAGTACTGGTGCACAGGCACTGGACCTGGATTTCAGACTGCAGAAAGCAGATTTGGTTATCTGCCATATAACCTAATGCTGCTAATTACTTTCAGTGTGGTCTTCATATTTTGGCCATTTCCCCAGGCTTCTCTACTGATCTGGAGTGTTAACTCACTTCTGAAATACCATTTCCAACCCTCCTGGAAGTAAGGCAACATGGGCCACAGCGAAACAAGAGAGATTATTTCCTACATATCAGAAGCGAGGAGGTGATGCCTTGTTGGAAGACATGTGTACTGTTTAGCCAAGCTATAAACTTTTTACAATGTAGCTGCTGTTTACTAGCGATTCTTATGTTTTCTGTTGCTCTCAAAGATTTCATGTGAAACTTTGTTTTTCTGGTTTCTCTGCAATTCTCCACAGCGATTAAATCTACACTTCTTGTGCAATGGTAATTTTAAAGCTTGTTGCACAGCTTTCAATCCAGGTGGGTAATATTATTAATGTGATACTTAAATGATAATTTGGTAAGTTATATATATTTTTCATTAACAGTACAATTAATTATTTTGTGCTCACATGTGTTAAATATGGAGCAAAACAAGGCAAAAGAAACTAAAAAGAAGAACTCTTCTGAAGACAGTATCCATGAAGTCATTCTTTTGGCTGAGCAAGGAATCACTTTACAAAAAGCAGGGAAGTGTACAGATTGTACATATGATATTATTTTTCCGGTAAAAATGGCACATTCACAAAACAGATGCATGTACCTGCACGTACGCACACATACAAATTTCAAATACAGCTTAAAAATTGTCCACCTTTCCCATGTTTTAACAAACATGACAGTCACCTGTCAAACATAGTAATTGATTTGGGAAGGGAGACTGCGGTAATGGTATTCACCTTCCATCCCCACCGCACCACAATTTGCAGTCCCTGGATATTTGGGTATGTAAGGCATTTGAACGTATAAAAATGCTGCAGCTGACAACTGGATGATTTGGTGTTCACGATGAATGCTCTCAATATATCAAATTGGTGGCACAGTGAAAGCTGCACACCAGAGGGGATTATCTCCAGAAAACATTATGGCTGGATTATGAAAATCTGGAATTTTCCCATTTGGCAAATATGTTTTCATAGATGGTGTCCTTGGCAATTACATCACTGGTCAACCTTAGGTGGAGCAAGCCAAGAGTGTTTCAACAAACTCAATAATCAACCACCAGAGAATTCAGAAGCACCTGAAAGTGATGCTGCATATGTAAATAGTAAAACACTTTGAGATTCAGAAGGTGTGATTTCAGTAAATGACAACTGTTCTGCTGTGATAGGCCCTGCTGTTAACCAAGATGCAGAACCGTCATTAGCTCATAGCTCAAAAAATGCTCATCAAAGAAGCACAGGCACAACAAGCATCCTAGAGATGAATGGAAAATAAAAGATCTTCAAAAGGAAAGGGTCCCAAAATGTCACTTTCCAAGAAAAAGAAATATGATTGTGAGACTGAGGAAAGAAAAACACAAATGATTCTTGCTGATTCCAGAAATGTTGAAAGCAAAGTCTCCTGAGAATTTCCGAAGAATTCAAAAAAGAACATTTGGAGTGGATTTTGTTCTTGTTCAGTTTGTTATTCCTGGAAGAAATTAATTTCTTATGTTGGGAAAATAATGTGCTCCAAAGAGGATGAGATTAATTTTCTTAGAATCAACAAGATAAGTTTGTAAAACCTGAAACTGAAAACAGCATGTCCTTAAAATGCAGACAAAGACATATGGTCTGAGGCTGTGACAGTGGCACTTATGAAGAGTTGTATTTTGTAGGATATAACACCGTATAGCCAATTCTACTGTCCAATTATTTTGTTCTTGAAACCCATTTCACTATTTACATTTTCAATTTAGTTATAACTGAAATAAAATGACACAGCATAGTAAATCCATGCATAAGGCACCTTTTGTGATCTCAGACTCTTTCATCTTTATTGAAAAGAGACCACCACCATCACCATCTGCTCTCTCAGCCTGAGTGAAACAAGTCATGATAACTATTCCACTTTGAGGTTGTAAATTTGAATTCATGCATGCCATTCGCCTTCCCCCCCCCCCTTGGCACTACAGCCCCAGTGGGCCTAGGCCTACCTCCATGAACTCTGTTCACTTCGGTTTTTCTAGATCTTACACATACAGTAGGACTCCTTGGGCGAGTGATCAGCTCGTCGCAAGGCCTCTACCTGTAGACAAACACAGAAAAACGCACACAAACATCCATGCCGAGTGGGATTCGAACCCACGATCCAGGCTTCCGAGCGAGCGAAGACAGTGCATGCCTTAGACCGCTCGGCTACTGTGACCGGCAGGCCATTCGCCTTACTCTGAAGTAAATCATACATTATTACCTTTCTCCCACATGATTGCATGGATCGGAAAGCCGGCCGCTGGACACGTTACTGCTAATGCTTCCCCGGCCACAGCGGAGATCGGGGGCATTTTACGTATTATCGGCAGTCCTGAAGGAAGGAGCAGAAACAAGTGGAACTTTTCAGCAGACGCAAGGGACAATTTATACAGAACATCTCACAACGACATGGCCAGACTTCGGGAGTGTATTCTATAAGCAATCGGAGTTTAAAAAAAAAGACAATCCTATAAGCCGGGATAGCTCAGTTGATATAGAGACTGGCTACGGACTGGACGGCCGAGGGGTCGGAGTTCCAGTCCCGGTACGGTCAAGAATGTTTTCTTCTTCATGTCGTCCAGACCGGCTCTGGGGCCCACCCAGCCTCCTATCCAATGGGTACCGTGGGATTTCTCTGGAGGTAAAGCGGCCGAAGCATGAGGCTAACCGCTCACCTCCAGCTGGTGCCCAGTTAAAAAAATGTGGATCAATACATCCACCCCCATTAAGCCTTCATGGCCTAGTGCTTAATTAGTTAAGCACAGGAACAACTTTACCTTCTTTCTGCAGCAATAGTTCATTTCATTACCGTTATCAAGTAAAGTGTTAGTGGGATGGATCACTGAATTAAAAATGAAATTTCCTTCGAACTGGTGTACTGTCAGCTTAAGCGTTTACAGTTAATGCTGTCAGTTTTAGTACAAGAAATATTAAAACTAAATTGAGTCTTTAAGATGTCCTCCTGCAGCTCGAAGGCATACCGCTGTGCAGTGTTTTTATTTCAGTTGGTTCGTAGAATGGCAAACAACTGAAACGTAGCGGCAAACGTATCAGAAGTAACACATCTGCTTGTGCATTGTACGTTTTCGTCTTGAGCTTAAAACTGGGGGTCAGAGTGCGGAAAACATGATTTAGAAAGATAAAAACACGGTGCAACTTGGTATCTTTGCGTTGAATGACTTTGTCTTGATGCGTTTCAATTAATCTCTTATCCCTTCTGAGGTACATGTACAAACTGCTTCCACGTTTCCGGCTTGTCACTATTGTGCACCTTTACCCCATACAAGTGCATAAACAGAAATCCAAAGCGCTCAAGCCATGCAAACGGGTCCACATCGTCATATGGACCTTTCTTGACAATTTGCGTTCAAATGCTCCGTAATAACTTTATTTTTCTCCGTCACCACAATAAGAAATAGGCATACACTACATATTCTTCGTTTCTTACAACTCGTTTCGGTTCACTTTACCACCATCAGATTATTTCACTTGTTTTCGTGCACCTGTATTGGTCTGCTAGTATGTAATGTAATGCTATTTAATGCTATGTAAAGGCGTAATAAAAGTTAAGACGGTATATTAATAGTTAAAATGTTAAATCATTAAAACTAAAAATTAATTGTTTACAAAGGTTTCCTTGTCTTTTTATGTGGGTGTAGTAGTTGTGTGTAGCTTTTCTGCTGGTGAATTTCTCTGGGGTTCTTCCCTGTAGTATATTTGGGAGAAGTCTTGAGTGCTGTATGTAGTGTTGTGACTGTTCACTAGAATTAAAGTTACTAAAATTTGTGAATTAAGAACAAACAAGTACATGACATAGGTTATAAGTAAGGCGTAAGCAGTTAATCACAATTTTACATTCAGAAAAATGACATAATCTCATTCTTGCTGTGTGGACAGGATGCAGCATTCGCTATGCTTCTTGGTATTTTAGCTCCTAGAGCTACTGCGGCATGTCCTTCGAGTTCAGAGATATGACAGATAGTGCAAGGCATAAACAAAAAGTAGGTGGGGCAGAGATGCATGCATCAAGATGATGACAAAAATGCCCTTAAGTTTTCAAGGGCTAAAATTGCGTATGAACCCTGTATCACTGTTAATTGTAAATTTCTGGTAAATTCCGAAATTCTGAACTAGACCAAGAAGGACTGTTTCAGGAAGAAGCTTCTTCTTCAAAGTCTCGGCTCGAAGAAGCTCGCTACTTCGGTGAGCTCATTCACCAAAAGATTCGTCTTTCAACTTCAGAAATATGAGGACGCCAATCGGCGTCACGTCATCACCGTCACAACTTGTGTATTATTAAGTTTAATGCAAGTTCATTTAGTACAAGTAACTTACCAGAAATTGGAGTAATACAGGGATAAACACAGGGTTAAGAAGTGGCCAATTAAGCCAATATTAGGAAGTAACTAATTTGGTATTAAATGCAAGGTAAACAATAAATAAAATTTTGTGTGAAACTGGAATGGTGTTCTTACAAAGCTGCTAGCATCAGTTTCTTGAGGACCGATATGCCCTAAACCTAGAGATCAGCTCTATTAAACCCTGAGCAGGCCGGGTGACCCAGAAAACTAACCTGACCAAATGCTATCCCGACCGAAAGCTACGCGCTTATGTTTACTGGCGCCCAACGATCACTCCCTATTCTTCCAATATCCGTTCAACAACGAGGTGCGAAAAATGGCCGAAGTGACAAACAAGACGAGATTGCAAGGTAGCTGCCATGAAAGGTGAGAGAACAAGGAGCAGCCTCTGAGGTGGCGCCACGAACATAAGTGGGTCGGTTACAGTGTAATTACACTTGTCGAAATACGGAGGTGCTCCACTGTGTTGTATCCACATCGTTTTCTTCTTTGAAGAAGAACGTTTTATAATTGAATTGGCAGTTTAATTCATAGAAAATGTTAGTCTCTGCCTTCCCACCGCGGCGGCCCGGGTTCGATGCCGGGTCTGGTCAAGTGGGAATTGTGGTGGACAAAGTGGCGCTGGGGCAGGTTTTCTCCGAGTACTTCGGTTTCCCCTGCCAATCTTCATTCCACAAATTGCTCCACAATCACCCTCACCTATCATCTGGGGCTGGTACAATAGGACAGAAGTGGACGCAGTACAAGGGACTTAGTCCCAACTCACTAGCAAAAAAAAAAGCAGCAGCTGTCGGACATCCCTCGACGTAATGCTGATCACATAGCTGACTTATCCGCTATTCCACGCCATATGTGTCTAAATTTACTTTTAACTTTCTCGTGTGGTCTGTCGTGCAACCAAGTGTGCAACTGTTTGCACCAGTGACAGCAGCATGGTGAAGCTGAGTCTTGCCATTGAACATAATGCAGTTCACAGGCTGTCTCTCTTTTTTTTCAAACATCTGCAAAACACACTCGACTGGAGCAATCTCTGGTTTAATTTTTTCTTCATTTATTGCCTGTTATCATTGGACAAAGGAAATTCTGCGTACACTATAGGACACGTTTTGGAGTGGAACTCTACAATCTGGAAAGCGGTGCTGATAGACTGTTACAGCGGCAGTATAATCTCCAATAAAGAAATTCGTACACTAACTATATATCAGCACAACGAAAATCAACCACTTCTGTCCTGTACGACAATCAGACTAAGCATGAATGCCTTAGCACACAGCATGGCTGTAGTAACAAACTGGACTGTTGCTTTTGGAATTTTCTGCTTAAAATATATTCCTGAAGTCTGGCCGTTACCTGATGGAGGAAATCTATAATACTCTACGTCAGGCATGTCCAACTTCAAACAGGTTATGATCGACTTTTTAGTGTCAAAACTGCCAGTGATCTACCACTCGCTCCTATCGCCGTACCTCGCTTTAAGCAAAAATATTGGTAAAAATAACACGACACATGATGTTTGTTGTAAAAGCAACATACATTGAAAGTACAGACTACTTTAACACGTATTTTCCCTTCAAAATCTGAATATAATCATATTATATTACAAGAGAATTTACATGCTTTTCACGTATAATTTCCTTATAGGCCTACGAGATCGACCAAAAATCGTCCCGCGATCGACGAGTTGGACATGCCTGCTCTGCGTTATAACACTGCTTGCCCGAAACGCATCTGTGGCTCAAAGGAAACACGCATGGCTTTTATTGGGCGCGGAGATACCAGGATTTGAATCCCTGCCCGGTCACCTGCCGCTTGTTGCAGACAATTACGAATTTTTTCAAATTACTTTACGGTAGGAATGAAACAACAAATTGAATCTGGTCCCAATGAAATACTCAGCACAATCTACTGATGCGTTCATGTTATTCTCTGTTCGCATACAGCAGCTGATGAAGAGAGTGCTTACGGATTGGAGTAAGATACATAAAGTGCTGTGTTTTGGAAGGTAATGCAGCGTAGTTCGGCTTAAGTTCACCGACATCTTGGAGGAACATATTGCCTCCATCTTCAGGGTCGAAGAACAAGCCAAGCAAGTATCTAACAAGAAGCAGGAGGTAATTGTTTCCTCTTAAACCCGGAAGATGGAGGCACTATTTTCGTCCGAAACGAAGGTGAACGTCTACTGGACCACACGGTGATACATTCCAGAATATGTTATTATCGCCGCTGTGATAACCTGAAATTCAAAATAACTAGAAATTTCTCGTGAACAGTGAACATCCGGTTTACTACTGATATACTAGTGAAAAAACCGGCCTACTAAAGTAGGAGTACAATTTTATCGCAACGTTCAGTAAATCAGAGTCCCTCGTCCAAATATATTTCCTTCAAATTTGGGAAGAGACTGACAATAATGTATCCCAGTTTACTTAAATGTAAAGTTGTCCCTGTTCTTAACTAATTAAGCATTACGCCATGAAGGCGTATGGGGAGTGGATGTATAGACCCACGTTTTCTTCACCTGGGCACTACTTGGAGATGAGTGGTCAGCTTCTCGCTGCCGGTATGCATTGGATAGGAGGCTGGGTGTATATTATAACCCTGCTTCCCTGAAGTAGCCCTGTATTAAAGAAGCCAAGAAATCTCGTAAAAAGGAAGCTTCAGATGTCGGTATGTCAGTATCCGGCTTCTTTTCTTAACCTCAACATAACCAACGATTCCGATGGTGTGTGGGGGAAGAGATCACGCTGCATACCATATGTAAGACAATGAATGTAAATTAAAATTTGTAATTTGGACTATATTCGTGATAACGTAGTATGGAAGAACGGTGAGCAGGTACTGAGGATTGTTAGGAACAATCACAAAGAATCCTTCATGCTGGGCTTCCGTTTCTCACTGCAATGAGTACGAATAATTCAATTTCCATGGATATAAAGCCGTGTGGTCTGGTAAAAGTGAACCGATATGCTCCCCTTTCAACGAGCTTCACAGTAAATAGGACGCGACACCATTTAGTTGTATGGCTTACCGTTCGGCTCTGACCTGTTTACGCTGTACCAGCTGTTGCAAATGGCGTATGACGTCGAGATCAATGTGACATGGCTTGTTGTCCCACCGCGAATTCTTTTATTGTCATCTCTGTATTAACTTTACACCAAACATGAGTGTGAATCAGAAATAATTAAAATGACAACTAAGCGATGCGCGTGAAGCAGCATGTAAGGTTAGGTTAACATTTTACGCTCCTCGTACAAGACGACTCAGTGCGCCAGTACGTGCGCTATTGTGCATGCGTAAACCAACTAAGATGAATTATAAATTATACGAAATACCAGGGTATGGTTAGGGGCACGCGAGAGCGTATTTGTTTGAAGCAGTATGCTATAAGCCGTAAGGCCGCGGGTTCGGTTACCGATGAGATCATGGGTTTTTCAGCTGACCTAATCCTTCCAGCCGCACTATGGTCCTGGGGTACAAGGAATCTTCCTGCGGGCTAAAGGATGGCCGGCGCATAGGGTTGATCACCTCGCGGCCATCTGTGAGTCGATTGTCTAGAAAAAGTGGGAGTCTCGACGTCTCACAACCCTATTTGCCTCCGCGGTCTGTTTCAGGGATAGTTCAACATTTCTACATTTATCTGGGTATGACTGTCGATTCGAATAGCATAATTCATTAAAATATCAATTAATTTTGGTCTAAGAACACTTCACCCACAGAGGTTTGCTTCGGACACATTCAGTATCATATGCTGGATAGCTGACAAGATGTGGCGCAGTGCTTGTCAAACTTTCCGAGTTCGCAGTCCCTCAACGACCCCCTCTTCCATCCACATCAAATTATCTGCATATGAACTTAAATCAGATTCAGATAACACAGTCGATTTAAAATGCGTTAATGCATGTAGCCTGTTTACAGAATATATAATGCCTGTAAGGCAAAAATTGTCCCTGTACTCAACGAATTATGTACTACACCATGGAGGCGTATGGGGAAGTAGATGTATAAATCCACATTTTCTTGACCTCGGCACTAGCTGGAGGTTAGTGGTCAGCATCACGCACCTGCTGCTCCACCCCTGGGGAAAGAGCCCCCGTTACGCATTGGATAGGAGGTTGGGCGAACCCCAGAGCCGGTCTGGACGACTTGGAGAAGAGAAAATTCTTGACCCTATCGGGACTGGAACTCTGATCTCTTAGTCGTCCAGCCCGTAGCCAGTCGCTATACCGACTGAGCTACCCCTGCTCCAATTTATGTTCTCACTGCCACCCTCTACTGATAAGAATGACCCGGTCACCATTCTGTAACTAGCATTGATATCCGTACCCAATTTCGAGTCCAAAGTGTTGGTTACATCGTCATTCCAGACAAACAAATTTTGTAAATTATTTAAAATACTGAGTATAATATTTTTCCTTTAACTTGTAACAGGAATGGAAACATAATCTCGCGGATCCCTAAGGGTCCTCGAACCACACTTTGAGAACCACTGATGTTAGTGTTAGCTATTGCCGAGGTCAAGAAAATGTGGATTTATACATCTACTTCCCCATACGCCTTCATGGCGTAGTGCATAATTCGTTGAGTTCTTACCGTAAACTCTGAGTGGTGCAGAGTGGGTCGCGCGCCCCACTCGGTTCTCCGCCGCACACTCGTACGTGCCCCCGTCCTCCACAGCCACCCTACTGATGTTGACGTGACTGATGACGTCACCAGCCACCGTCACGTACTGCCCGATCACGAACCTGTATGGAAAATGGCAGTGCATGGAAACCCAGTGCCAGAACATATTTCTGGCGGGTGTGATAAATCCAATCCTTAGTTAACACATTGTGTTCGCATCCGTAATGGCGATGGCAATAGTTCCGCTTCCGTATTCAGCGAACCTCGAGAGAACGCTAGATACACGTAAAATTTTGCATGCAGTTGATAAAAGCGAAATTCCTCCATAATTACTTTAGGTTTGCCGATATGGTTTCAAACAGATATAATGTTGTGTTTCTGCCGCTGTTACGACACTTTGTCGTTATTCCAAATATAAGCGATAAAATTCCTGATTTCAGAATGTAACATGTTTTATCTACGAGTATTTCTTGGATCGATTCCATCGGAATTATTATTTACAGCCTTCAGCTTTTTAACAGGAATTAGACTGAGCTGTATGCAACTTCTGTTTGTCATGTAGGGGACATCTTGATTCGTTTGGACAGCTGCTGGCTCTGCTAGGTCTGTGGACCAGTCGCAATGAAGGGCATCTCTATTTACAGTGTCTGTCTTCCTTTAAGTAATTCCATGAAGGAATAAAACTAAAAACCAGAATTATCACACCAAAAACGAAATACGAATAACGCAAATGTAGATCTGAGAATCTCGCGGAGGTGGAAAGAAGGTTATGTTCGTCGAGTATGTGACATGAAGTAGTGCGGTAGTTACCAGCGCCGGCCAGAGAGCACAGGAGAACAAAGAGGCCGAGTGGGCAGCACATTTTACCAAAGTCTTTGTTCTTTCTTACTTGAAAACAAACTTTTGCTGATCTTTTACTCATATAGTTACCACTAATCGAAGCATGTTATCTGACAATGTAAATATAAGAAGTTCTGGGAAGAAATAATAGCCTACTTTCCTTTGATACGACACCGATCATATAGAAAGCGACGCCTCCAACAATTCTTCCATGCTGCGGGGGTCTTTACCGAGCGGTTGCGTAGCAACGATAGGGGATACACATATAGACTGCTGGGAGAGATTTATAACGTATGCCATTGATATGGGCTCAGTGGTCATGACATATATACCAAGTTTCATAAAGACTGGTTAAGGCATTCACAAGTTGGTAGGGGGTTTTACACAGAGACACAGACAGCATGAAGATCGCATAAACCTAACTTAAGAAAGTAGGCTAAACCCGTTTTCAGATTTGCAACAGCGTCACAAAATTTCGTGTTCTAATTTTAACTAAGTATGAGGGCAGAATTTCTCGTTCGGGGCGGCGTTTTGGCTTGCGTCTGCCCCTTATGTACAGGTGAGAACATTTTGAAGGTAATCTAATTGCAGATATTACAATATGTGAACTGTGAACTAAGTAATCTTGTAAGGCAGTAGCTACAGATAGACTTTCATGCTGTGGTGTGGCTTTTACCTGTCATTCTGGGGAAGCGGGAAGCCGTCTAATTTCCAATAGATTTGTGGGGTCGGTTGACCCGTAGCAATGCACTTCAGGGATACGTCAGGGCCGGGCTGGAGCGTCTGCTCGATGAAGCGATACAGCAGCTGCGGGCGTGACGCTGCAAGAAATGACAAATTGTACACTGCGTGTTGCAGGGTTGCTGCGACTGTCATGTTAACTGGAAAGCTTCATTTCACCGATATACTCCCATGTTAAAATAAAGTATTAGATTACCATTTAATTACATTTAATTTATTGTCGTTTGCCTGTTAAATGCTATTCAAATCCTGACGTGTTTCGATCATAAATGGACGTATTCAGAAGGGATATTAGACATTAAAGGAGACTTTACAATTTTTATGCATGAATAAAATATTTGAAATGTCGAAGTCATAAACTGTTTATAAACATTTAAAACTAATAATATATTAAAGTTATTTAATGTGAGCACTTCAGTATATTTTGCTGAAACACTATGTTACAAGCCGGAAGGCCGCGAGTTCGATCCACCATGAGGTCAGTGGATTTTTCAATTTACCTATTCCTTCCAGCTACAATATGGCCCTGGGGTGGACTCACCCACTAATGGAAACTGGCACAGGGGGTAAAGGGCGGCCGGTGCGTAAGGCTGACAACCTCATCGCCATCTGTGAGCCGACTGTCTAAAAGAAGTGGAAACCTCGACGTCTCAAAACCCTATGGGCCTTCACGGCCTGTTACAGGGATATATTTTAACTTTTTACCTTCTTAGTTGTTAAATTCATCTTTCCTGGTAACCAGTGCGTCACTGTAAGAGCATACTGTGCAGTGCTGCCTAATATGTCAATATGGCAATGACGCGAGGCATTGCTGAGTGGTTCTTGAGATGCAAAGTCATGGACTTTTAATGGCTTAGGCTTTTAAAACCTTCATTCTTATAAACAGATTTGAAGGATTCTTGCTATCGGTTGACTTTCACCAGACTACATGGCGTGATATCCCAGAACACAGTTCTCTTCTAAGTATACTTAGACGATGCTTTCATCTAATTTTATGTAGGTATTTAAAATGGCTGAAACGTTGGTTAGCGACACTGTTAAGGTCAAAGGTTACTTGCCGCAGAGTGAGTTAAAATGCATCAAAGAGTGGAGTGGAATTATTCCGAAGTTCTTGTTGAATATGTCGAGGTGAAGGTAGGTACATTGTTAAAATTGCAGCATCATGTTATGATATTCATCTGTAATCAGTAGTTACGGAACACAACAAGAAAGATATTTAAATATCCTTTCGAAGCTGTGGACTAACTGGACAGCCCAACGCGCAGACTAAATGGATTTCTGTGGGGTTCCCCCTCACATGTGAATAAAACAGAACCCCCAGTTTTTGTGTGCATATGAGGCGTGGGCTGCCGAGACAGGATGGTTTCCATCTCAAGATCTGACTTCACTCTACTTCACGGCGTAGCCAAAAGCACTGCGAGTGTGCCGGGGCTACAACTACCTAACACAAACACAGACATCCATGCCTTGAGTGGTGTTCGAACCCAGGGTCCCAGTGTTCGAGTGGGCGAAGCCATTTCATGTCAGACTGAGCGGCCACTGTGATCGGCACTCAAATGTGTAGGAGGGTGTAAACAACAGCAAAATACTTTCTTGTAGCAACACGTCGATGTCAAGTGTCGAAAAGAGATTAGCAACAGCAACACTAGAATCAAGTGCGGGTTTTAAAGGGGAAAATGGACTTGCAACAGTATTAAGGGTTAAGGGTGGGAAAACCCGATGCAATCTTGACAGAGAAACCGCCAGCGGCAAGTGTGGAGTTTGTAGCCAGTTTCCATCGGCAGGCAGTTCTGAAACAAAGACTGATCCAGACAGAAGCAAGCAGCCCAGCAGAACCCACGCGAAATGGTCTGAGCAGAGATGTCCTGCCAACGGGTGTGCGTAGCACAGGCTAGTCCACAGCGCAGCGAGTAGTCTACACGGCAGGCGTACCACTGCGAGGCGGATCCAGCGTGTTGCAAGTGGTCTACGCAGCAGGCGTACAGCGAAATTCGAAATGGTTCCATCCTAATGTAGATACTGAGATTGTAAACGCGGATAGCAGTACCGTCAATGTGACGTTATATATCTAAATCTGCGAGGTTTCAAAGGCGAAATAAGAGAACTGTCAGTTTCATAGCGAATGTAAATACAGCATTTCAGGTTACTGACCCTAGAAATGCAACCACCTTATATAGGTGAGTTCTAATGAGAATTGGCGGAGAAATAAGAACCGCCATTCATCACAGAAATTTGTAAAACTTGGGAGAACTAAGAGAATTCCTAGAGAACACATAGAGTGAGAAAAGAAGGTCAGATCAGTTATTCAGTATAACGCAAATTATATAGTGTGTGTGTTTGACTGGATTCAGCGTATTCAGAGACTGGGATAAAAATTTGAAACGCTGCATTGTAAGACTGCGAGCAAGGGGGGAGGGACGGAACCTTGACGCTGTCAGAACTTGTGCAGGGTTTGTACCCAGATGGTATAAAAGCAATTATAATGGGTGCAAATTATTGCAATTTCGCAATATAGCCCTCAAGCATGAGTTCGAATAATCTGAAATGTAATAACTGTGGAGAGATAATCACGTGGCAAGCGTTTCTTAAGTGTAAGAAGTACGTAAGGATCAATCAGTTTTCTGCAAAACATGGGAGCCGACGGCCCCACAGGGATATTATATTTTAACTGTTAGGAAAGGGGGAAAATAGCTCGGGAATTCACAAGGCCTAGGTAGAAAGCAGGTAGACCCGAAGTCACTAAATAGAAACGTGGGAGTGACAGTTCGCGAAACGAATGACGACCATCTGCGAATCCCACCAGTTAAAAGAGAACGTCAGCAAGACAGCTGAGTTATTGTTGCGCATAGACTCCTCAAGGGACAGAACCTGAAGGGCTCAACAGAATGTGATCCAGAAAGAAAAGTAATGGCGGAAAGCGTAAGGGAATCCCCGATGGAGCGATAGAGGCTGAGATGAACCTAGGGAATATTTCGATTACGCAAGAGTTTCAGTCAGTAAACAAGCAGGTTGTGATTTCTTTCGAAATGCAAAAGCACAAATATGTTATGAATGTCGGTGTGTTCAGCTAAATGGGGAGGTGGTCAAGATGGCGATTGCTAACCAAACAAAAATCGCGAATATAGAAACGACACGAGAAACCAGGAAGATAACACAAACGGTTAATCGACTTCGTCCATTGTGACCGAAAAATGTCTTTTTCTTACTCTCTTTTGTAATCCTTCATCCTTGACAAGTTTCGGCCTTAGAAACCATTTTCAGAAGGATATAGCCATAAAATACAATATATCGTTCTGAAGATGGCCTCTAAGGCAGAAATATGTCACTGATAAAGGATTAAAGACGGAGTTGATAAACCTTTTATGATATGGATACTGTGACGGACCACCATGAACCAAACCAGGAAGATCAGAATGTGTTATCAGATTACCAGTGAAGGACAGGCCGCCATTAGTAGGAATTTCAGACAAACACGAAATTCAAGAAGGCATTTTTATGGCAGCGTGATAGGCAGTTATGTGATTACTAGCATTTTAGGTACGAAAGGCGAGGAGGTAGAAATTCAGGAACCGGTAGTGAAACTAGATCAAATTAAACCAGTACGGGATCTCACAGGCATGACTAAACAGAAAAGAAAACGATAAGGAAAAGTAAATCTCGGAAAGTCTAAGGCTACATCATCAGATGTGTGAAGAAAATAAATTACTGATAGGAACGTGTCAGGATTATCAAGCAAGTGGCATTCCAAATGTGTCCAGTCAGGGAACCGAACCAATATGTACCTAACCCTATAGGCACACTTCCTGAAACCCACATGGAGGAAGCAGCAAAGCAGGCAGAGAAATCATTGAAGGAAGGAATAGTTGGAGAAAGTATGTAAAAATGGGTGCCAGTGGAAAACAGAAGTTCAGGATCATACTCGTAGTAGATGTGGTTGAGGGGCTATGCACTAGCTGTAGCAGCTACTACAGCTATCTCTATTCGCACGCAACTCAACTACCCTGAAGATGGAGGCGATATGTTCCTCCGAAACGTCGGTTAAAGCGAAGAATACACGGTGCCAGATCCCAGAAGACGACTTTCTTCATGGTACAATAATAGACTCCGTCCACTGATCAGGCAATTTTTCCTTATGCCAAATAGAAGTAATTAGATTGTAGATCTTAGAACGTAATATTTCTCCTCCTGCTTGAATAAGTTCTGCCGGAATTTGATCGCTACCTGGCGATTTATACCGTTTCAATTTTGCAATAGCACTTTCAACCTCAAAAGGGCTAGGATCGGGTACTAACGGCTCATCTGTATGGATTTCTGTCTGCCTAACATCACTGACCCTATGTACATTCAATAACTGAGAGAAGTAGTACCTCCACTTATTCAAAATGTGGGAATCTGCAAGCAGATCACCATTCTCATCCTACACTAAGTTACTGCTAGGTTGGTAACCCCTTTTAAAGACATTTATTCCTCTGTACAGGTCTCTAATGTTCTTGTTCTTACAGTTCATTGAAAGTTAATAAATTTTGTCTTTCAGATATTCCCTCTTTTTTTCCTGAAATGCCTGCTGGTTTCACGTCTTATATTGTTCAGATTATCCCCATTTAGCTCGCTTGAATCCTGTAACCATTGCAATTTGGCCTGCTTTTTTGGGTTCCTAGGTAATGCCCGCATGAAACACTAGAGGAGGTGTCACTATACGTGACGCGTTCAGCCGTTACTATGCAGCCCCCGCAGCATACGCATACACAAAAATACAGGAGGTGATACACGCGGTGTTCTCCTTGGATATCGTAGGGCCGTTGAATGAATGAATCGGGAAATAAACAAATATATTAACATTCCAGGGTGGACTGAGTAAATTTATAATAGCTATACCACTTCCGAGGCAAGCTACAGAAACTGTCGCTAAGGCTTTCGTAATGCACACTGTGTTGAAATTTGGAGCAAACAGCAACGTTCTATTTAGACAAAGGTCAGATTTTCTTAGTTCATTTCTGCAAGAATACTTGTTAGATTACTAAGGATAAAAGAGATTCAGACTACAGGGTTTCAACCAGAATCCAGTTGTGGTTTAAAGAGA